AGGAATGTGCCTCCCGTCTAACGCCCCGATGCATCCATCAAAGAAGGGTGCATATGGCATGAACTTCTCGTGCACTGTAGTGTATAGATCGCCCTTTGGAACTAGAATGGTATCTAGAAAAGTCCTCATAACATCTGCCACATGGCTAATGATGTCACCGATTAATCCCAAGGACTTCTCAAACCTATCCTCGATCTGCCTATAAGGTTGATTGTGAGCACAACTCCACACAAACATAGCTAGAGCTTCTTCTGAACTAGTCTCGACTGAACCCTTCAGTCCATAGTTTTCAACTAAGATGTCATGTAAATGCTTGAATGCTTGAGGAGACATACGCAAGTTGCTGTGGCATCTTTCAGGGTTCTGCAAAGTTCTAGAAAGCCATTGTTGCCTAGTGAACTTAGGTATTGATGGAGGACGATCGACGAGTGCCGCATGTAGTTCTTCTAGCGCGACTGCTACTGCCGCCAACGTTTTCATGACTGACATTTCATCGCTTCCACTATCGGTGTTGTCGGAGTTGTCCATATGCTGCACATTTGAAAAGACAAATGTGTCATAAGTATAACCAATGTAGTTACAAATATGTTACACAATTCTTACCTTCCACCAAAGCAATCTTGTCACCTGGTGTCGAACATGCTTGTCACATCATCCTTGCTCCTAGCTTACCTCCTCGTGCCCTGCAAATGTCAGTGTTAGTGCACACTGACCAACAAACTGCAATGCTTTGTAGTAATGGCAAATAAATAGTAGAGAGGGTTAACACATTAATCCGACTGCATACAACCTATTCGTTGTCCATGTTACATCAATTGCAAACTTCGTACACAAACAAGAGTTTTCGTAGAAGTACATCAAAACAATAGATGTAGTAAGTGACGCAAGAAAATTAAAGTTCAACTAAAATCAAAACCAAACAACATTTTGGAAAATTGAAAGACATAGGAAGCCTCCATCATTGAACATCCTCACTGCTTCAGATCCAAAGATCTACTTCTTGATTCCCATCTTGTTCATCCTATCCCGCTAACTCTTCCTGATCCAATTGATCCTACCCGCTGTTGTTTTGTGCAACAAAAACACCCTCCGATCTAGTGCATTCTTGCATAGAATTACGGCATGGGCGTGCAAGTTAGTCTCTTCACTGATGCCATCTTGTTCCAAGATTTGAAACACCTCGGCCATCTGCGTTTTGTCATTGCTGACTTGAAGTCGTGTGATTGTCTCTCTGATGTCTCTCATACATTCCTCGACACTTGCAGCACTCTTCTTACTTTCAGGGCTCTCCACTGGTATTGGAGATGCACGCCTCTTCGATGATTGGCCAATTGGACAACACTAGAGGCACCCATTGGGTCCTGGGACATGTTTTGTGGAGTGTATGATAGTGTCCTAAAAGAGGCTGTACTCACATGAACTCCACCAGCATACATCATTGCACCAGTGTTTCGTGTGGTACGACCAAAGATGGTGCTTAGTAGGTTGAGGCGGGGTGTGTGGGTGGGTGGGGGGGGGGGGGATGGGGGGGGGGTCGTGTGGTCCTCATCATCTTCGGTTAGGTACTGCACCGGTTAGATGGTCATATTGTAAGAGGCTAACAAATGATATATAGTAAAGATGGAAACATGAATGAACTGATGAAAGCAGGTACCTGTCGTCCTTCCTCCCAAAAGGAGGGATCAGCTGTAACCCTGCCAGTATTCTTGTCACGCCCTAGGCCAGTTTGTTTCTGAAGTTTCATCCATCTGTAGTAGTGAGTTCTCAGTTGATGTAGTTTGTTTTGGACTTTCTTCTCATTGTAGTCTAGACCTGATTGACTTCTGAACTCCGGGCCAACATTGGCCCAACCTAACTTTGTCAGTGATTTCCCTGTCTAGTTCAGTAGATTTTTCTCTCTAATGACAAGATTTTGGAATATCATAATTCTCTCTTCATTCCAGTTTGCGCGAGCCATCTGTGCCATGGTTTCCAAGGTATGGTATGATTCGGACGGAATAAAAAATGTTTTCGACATCATAAAAAGTGTGTGCGATATGTGGAATATGTGGACTTGCCTTGTGACTAAACTTGGGCCGCTGTGCCCGCAAGTCGTACTTGGTCAGTTTAGGGGGCGACGACGCCATCGCTGTCGATGGTGCCAGTGTGTGCCCCGTCCGGCCGTCCCTGCCACTAAAGTAGAATGGTTGCCATGTTAGTCTTCGACTGTATGAGCGCAAATGTACAAGCAAAGTAGGGCAAACGCACCTCAAGGCGGCCGAATACACTGACGAGAGGGCCGGGGCTATTTGGCAGCGCCTTGGGGGAAATGGAAACAAGAGGGCAAGGGTTGGGTGCCGGCGTGGAAGGTGGTGCAGAGAGGGGAGGGGGTGGGCCGCTGCGACCAAGAAGGGTAAGGGCCTTCCTCGCCGTGGGCCGCTGCTGCCGGGAGGGCACGGGGGCGCCACAGCCCGTCGGTAGCGACAGGTTAGGGGGTGACTGCGCCCTGGCCCGCTGCTGCCACGTGGAGGGGCCGCCCGCGGCCCGTTAGCGATGAAAGGGGAGGGGGCACGCGCGGCCAGGTCGTGGCCAGAGGGAGGGGGTGGGGAACGACAGTGGCAGCGTGTGCTCTAGGGTCGGGCGCAGGTCAGGTTGTGGAGGGAAAGGAGGGAGGAAAGAGGGAAACTGGGCCGCCGGCGTGGTAGGTAAAAGCCACCTCGGCGTTGAGTTGGCTGACACCGAGGGCTAGTCTTCCCTTTTGGCCCTCGGCGTTGAGTCGGCTGACGCCGAGGGCTAGCCTTTCCCTTTCAGCCCTGGGTGTTGTGTCGACCCACGCCGACCTCCATCTCGGCGTCAATGCAACCCACGCCGACCTCCTCCACCTTGACGTGATTTTCTCTTTGAACTCAGAGAGGTCCAGCCGACCCCAACACCCCGGCGTGAAATCACAGCACGCCGAGGTTGTTGGGCATCTCTATGTGCTTTTATTTGATGCCTATTCCTCTGTTTTTTTTTTTGCATAAATGGGTTCACAATTATGAATTAAAAATCACATAAACCAGATTTCACAAAACAAAAAGGATGCTGAACCAGATAGCTTTCGACCATAGTTCATGGTATTTGCATACATAGCCTCACGAATTTTTCAACGAGGTACAAAGGTCCAAACAACTTTAACCTAATAAATCCATGAACTCTAAAACATAGGTGATACATGTTCGAAACACTATATACATAACTTGGGGCATCAGACGTTGCCCCGTCCACTCGCCGCGATGCCTTTTAAAGACTGGAGCACTGCAACGCACAATGCGGCTTTGAGTTAGGCAAAGACTAATAGCAACAAGGGTTTTGCCATGTAGCGTTCAAAGGAAAGGAATGTACCTTAACGTGGACACCGTGAGCTACGCTTGCCTCTACCAAGTGCATACGTCCCAGGAGTGTCACTACCGGACTCAGGCTCTTTGCCGAGTGCCTGTGACACTCGGCAAATCCCCATATACCTTTGCCGAGTGTAACTCTCGGCAAAGATCACTCGGCAAAGCTGGTGACGGCAAAGGTCTCTTTGCCGAGTGTCTTTTGTCGGGCACTTTCGGCTTTGGCGAAGGCTTTGCCGAAAGTGCCGTGCAAAAACACTCGGCAAAGAAAAAAGTTGCTCGACGGCGCCAATTGATTTGTGTGGCACGTCGCTTTGCCGAGCGCCTCACGGGGGGCACTCGGCAAAGCCCGCCCTCTTTGCTGAGTTTGACACTCGACAAAGGCAGGGAGGCTTTGCCGAGTGTCTTACTGGTGACACTCGGCAAAGGAAGGGAGGCTTTGCCGAGTGCCTTTCGAACCATATCCCTTTCGAACGGGAGACATCTAACTTGGTTATGTGATCTACAAACATGATACGGAAAGAGGGGTTATACCTTGGGTGGCGGTGGAGTCAGGGCTAAGCGGGGCCGTGGCGGTCATGCATGGCGAATGGCAGGCAACGCGGTGCAAAGTTGCACTAATTCAAATGTGCAGACCAGCAGTGGCGAGAATATGATCGGGTCGCCGAGGTATTCCGGCTCGGCTCCGACGGGCTATTCTCTGCAAAAAAAAGAATATACGGGCTTAATTGAAAATTTTTTACAGAACAGAACCTCCCTACACGGTGAGGTTTCTAAAACCAATCTTGTAAAAATTTTCGCGTTAGCATCGATGGCCGATAACCACATATGCATATGCATTGGATTCACATTCATATAAACATATATAATCACAAAGCAAATACTGTAGTTTGCAAACAAAGCAGGGATCTGCTTCCTGCGTTAGCCAAATATACTAGTACTAGTAATATATATACACACACTCACTGTACGCACAGCCAAAAGTAACAAGTGATGACGACGTTTTATTTGGACATTGCCAAAATACTAATACTCATCACTGCAGCCGGCCGCCACAAATAACAAGCAAGTGATCGCAAAAGGATTTATGCTAATGGCAGCTAGCTTTTCTCAGTATGCATGTATATATTAGGCTAGCTAACTAGCCACTACAAGCTCCAAGCTGGCCAGCCGGCCGAAGAGCACGCACGCGCCTATATATATAATCCTCACACATATCTTTTGTCGTCTCAAGTTGGATTATATATTAATCATATGCATGATTAGTTTCAGCATGGGCCATCACTGTGTGATCGATGTACTCCATCATTCAACAACCAACCTGGAGATTAAAAAAGGTGCTATATATATATATATATATATATATATATATATATATATATATATATATATATATATATATATATATAATGGCTAGCTAGCTTGGTAATTTTGTACGTAGTACTACGCATTAGACCATTTCTATGAGATACATTAGCTACATGCGCTAGCTCTGGTGACAAATGGCTGTCAATTCTGAATGCCAAATTACTATGCTTTCTGCACATTTCAATCTTTGCTCGTCTTTCAGGTGCAGCAGGCCTTTGAGAAGTAGCTAGCTATAGTTTCAAGGCGCCTGGCAAAGACTGGCTTTAGAGCAGCAGGATGTACAGGGCTAAGAGGGCTGCTTCGCTCAAAGCAAAGCGCCGCGTTGGCAAGTATGAGCTCGGACGCACCATTGGGGAAGGAAAATTTGCAAAGGTCCGGATCGCCAAGAACATGGAGAACTGGGATCATGTTGCTATCAAAATTCTTGACAAGGCAAAGGTTCACAAGAACAAACTAGCTGAACAGGTGAAGTGTTAAGACTCTGCATTCTATTTCCATAGATTTTCACTGCACGATTCAAAAAAAGTTATTTACAGTGAATTCCCTTCTGTTTGCGATATATGTCTAGTGAGAAAAAAGATAATTACTGATCCCACCCTCTCAACTGTATGGCAGATTAGGAGGGAAATCTGTACAATGAAGTTAGTACAGCATCCCAATGTTGTTCGCCTGTATGAGGTAATAAAGCTTAAACTTTAAATGTAAAATATATTATTTTTTCAGTATTACGTTTCTTGCATTGGAATGGGATGCACATCCAGGTCTACAGTTCATAACCATTTATTTGCATTGTTTTTGTTCCTTTTTCTATGACAGGTGATGGGAAGTAAAACAAGGATTTACATTGTGCTGGAGTTTGTTATGGGTGGAGAGCTCCATGATATCATTGTAAGCACTGTTGTATCATTGCCAATGCTTCCTCTGTCATTTGACCTTATTCTTTTCTCATCAATGATAATTTATATAGCATGCTAGTTGCTAGCTGCTTTTCCAGCCTAAACTTTGCATGAAGAGACATTTAACATTCCATGCTTTATATATATAGCACGTTTGCTTCTTTTCTCTACATGACAGTTTGTGATTCACTGTCCAAATTCACAATCAGGCCACAAGTGGAAGATTGAAGGAGGAGGAAGCACGTAGATACTTTCAGCAGTTGATCAATGCTGTAGACTATTGCCACAGTAGGGGTGTATACCACAGAGACTTGAAGGTGCAGTATTGTTCATCCTTGATTCTGCTCTTTGTTTGTATCATCAGTTATGATCAAGGAAATAGTATGAAACTTAAATGTTGATATTTCTCGTATGCAGCTAGAGAATCTGTTACTTGATGTTGCTGGAAACCTCAAGATTTCAGATTTCGGGTTAAGTGCTTTATCAGACCAAGTGAAGGTACTATTAGTCAAGATACTACAGAAATTATTTATACCGGAGACGCCCTCTTTGCCGAGGGCCCAGGGCACTCGGCAAAGGCCCAAAAGCCCTCGACAAAAAGCCATCGGAAAAAAAATTAACGGCAAAGAGATTTTTTGCCGAGGGCTATTTGTCGGGCACTCGGCAAAGCCTTTTCCGAGGGCCAACAGTGGCGCTCGGTAAAGAAAAGCAGCCATCAACGGCGCTGGTCCGTTGACGGCGCCTTTGCCGAGTGCCAACAGTTAGGGCACTCGGCAAAGACATTTTTATTTTTATTTTTAAAAATACTTTGCCGAGTGCCATGGCGGCAAGGCACTCGGCAAAGACATTTTTTATTTTTTTAAAAAAGCTCTTTGCCGAGTGCCTCCCCAGCCGACTCAGCAAAGATTTTTTGTTTTTTTTTAAAAAAAATCTTTGCCGAGTGCAATGTCCTGGCACTCGGCAAAGTTTCCCAGCTTTGCCGAGTTCCATGACCATTGCACTCGGCAAATCAACCAAAACTGTAATTTTTTTTGTTTTTTGCATTCCACTGACACAAACAGTTCAAATATATATCACATGTCACATATATATCACAAACATCACAATAATCACATATATATCACAACAAAACCATTTTCACACATTATATCACAACCACAAGTCACAAATTCACAAACACAGTCCATCAAGTCAAAGCACAAGTCACAACCACAAGTGAAGCTCAAGTCCAAGCACATGACGAAGCACAACTCAAAAAAGCGGCCTATGACACGATGGTGCATTTGGTGACGCATGAGTGGGGTTATTCGAACCCGCCAACGAAAGCTGCAAAAAGGATAAGAGGTTGCATGTGTGAGATTCATCTAGTAAGTTTCTATGTGAAGCATTGGTGTATGTCATAGCTAGTGCAAGCATGTAGTAAGTTTCTATGTCAAGCATCTAGTAAGTTTCTATGTCAAGCATCTAGTAAGTTTGTATATATGTCAACCATGGTTGTATGTCAAAGAAGCATCTAGTAAGAGTGAACTTTCATACTCAACCATGGTTGGTGGTGGTCCTCCTCACCCCTGCTGGACACTCCGCATGAAGGCCTCCATTTCTTGCATCCTCCTCTCTGGGGGGCGCTGCACCCTCTCAGCCTCAGCAGCTGCAGCGCTCGAGCCTCGACCACGAGCTTCTAGGCTCTGCAGCTCGGCTGCACTGCAATACAAACTTCAATGTTTCAAGAATGCAAATGTAACTTAGGTGTGCAAAGATGAACGTCTGACGATGAGTAAAACAGACGCGATACCTCGAGAGCGTCGACCACTGCAGATGATGGAGTAGGCCGTGGCGTATGGGCTGGCTAGAGCTGTGCTCCATGCTCGAGCATGTCGAGAGAGGAACAGATGGTGGAGTCGATGGCGCCGCTCACAATCCACACCGCCCATGCTTCTTGCCTCCTCCTAGCCTCATGATGGTCTATGCATCAATGGGCTCAAGCACACATCATAATCTTCCCCATGGACCTCCCTCACCTTTGAGGTGTACTCTTGAACCTTAGTGTGCACGGTCGGTCGGAGTACACCTCACAAGGCGGCAGACGGGTCAAGGAGAGCAGAGGAAGACGCCCACCATGTGTGGGACATAGCCCACGCAAAGAACTCCGAGACCTCCATGCCCGGGTGTGTAGCCTCCTACGAGTAAGACCAAGAAGATGGTGAGAAATAAAGGCGAGAACTCAAAGATCAAATAAGATAAAAGAAATCACTTACATATGCTTGTTTGTAGGCGGGAGGCTGCAGTTTGCCTTGATGGTGAGTAGCACCTCGCCTCGTGACGACACCGGTCCCGTCCCTCGCGTGGTTCTCAAAGAAAGTCTCGTTGGACAACCACCTGTCCACGATCATCTCCCAAAGACACGGAGGGGATCGTCACCACCAGTGAATCACCTACAAGTCATCGATTATTGGACATAGAAAAAGATAAAATTAAACCGACTTAATCTCAAAACGAATCATTATTAATGTTTTTCGTCTACCTCAAGGTACTTGGCCTAGGACAGCTCCACCTTTCTTGCATCAGGCTTGCTGATGGGTCATCGCTTCAACACCACGGCGTAGTAGTCTCTGTGGGCATGCACGCGCCTCGTGGTGCATGTCGATGATGTACTTCCCTACGGTGCGGCGACTACCGATCCACCGAACCTCAAGTCCTTCTTCCGCTTGAAATACATCTCGCATACAAAACCGATGTATCCATTCATTATTTCAATAAAAGACTTGTCCAATGAAAATGTTGTGCGAGAGAGACTTACCCAAAACTCCGCCAAGACTACCCTCGCTTGTTGCGGTACGTGTCGTCGAGAATAACTGGTACTGTCCCCCATGTGTAGGTCGGCTCTCGCACGTCCTCGGACACGCTTCACAAGGCCGGGTACCATTTCCCCGCACAAAACACCAAGGATGCTCGTGGGGAGCGTGTAGAAGCACCACAAAACCAACCAGGCCCTGCACAAGTGATTAAGAAAATTTATCAGTTCCTCTTTTGATTTCCAACATTATCATATGAAGTAGTTGTGATAACATCTATAGTTACTTACCTCTTTGCCATAGGGCGAATTAGTGCCCGGTTGTGAGGAAGCGGAGGCTGAGGGAGGCTCGCGGGACCTCGCTGGTAGATAGTCGGGGTAGCGGAACTGTCGCCCTCGGCTGCCTCGTCCTCGGCCGCCTCGTCCTGGGTCTGTTGGACGTCCTCGTCCTCGACCTCGCCCTCGGGCGTGGCCGTCACGTGCTCCTCCTCCATCACCTCGTCTGAAGGTGGCGGGCAAGGAGTCTGCTGCCTCTTGCTGACCCTGGTCCTCCTCCTCTAACCTCCTGTGGACGCTACCCCTAACCCCGACCCCTCGTCTAAAATGGGAGGGCGTGGTCTCTCGTAAAGGGAGGCCGTCTCACGTCATGGACGGCTGCTCGCCATCACCTGCAATCACAAAGAATGAACAAGACTTATTAGTATATATATTAGAAATAGATTCAAAATAAATAAAGAAAACACAAACTAAAATAAACGTAGTATTACATGTATTAGGAATAATCTTCATGATTAGGATCATAGGTGTCGTCATCACTATCAAAATTATCCAAATGGGCAACACTATCTGAAGGTTCTACGTTGTCTTCGTTGTCATTGCCTAGCCTTAATCGGTCAAGCATTTCTATGTCCTTGGCATTTTGCACCACATCTCCATCAACCTCGTCATCCTCCGCTTTAGTTGTCTACTTCCATTTCGATCGCTTGGGTAAGACTATCTCAAATGTGCTCGGTAGCCCATCTTCTTGATAGAACTATCCATCATATGTGTTTGCGTTGAAGTTGTAATCGTCATCGTTTGGGGCAGGTAGTTTACCGTGTGGAGACACCTAGTGCACAACAGCCCAACCCTTAAGATCCGCTTTGTCTTGGTTGGCATATCGCGTATAGTACACCGCACACGGCTCTGTTGAGCCACAATGTAGACATCTTTTCCTGGATAGATTTTAATCTTCTCGAATCTCGACTAGCCCAAGATGAGGGGTCCGTCTCGCTTCTCGAGGATTAAACCAAAGGGCATTTGAACATGACAGTTTATGTTTGTGACCATGAAATGAGAGTTCATATATTTCCTCAACTCTACCATGATAGTCGAGGCCGCCGGTCTGCAGGCGTAAAACTCCGCTATTTGTGGTTTTCCGTTTGGGCGAGTCTGCTCATATCTTGTTGTGTGGAAGCGATATCCGTTCACATCATAACCGGTAAATGACTGCACCCTAACGTCATAGCCGCCTGCAACCTGTCTCAACTCCTCACTCATGGATGAGTCAGTCTAGGCCTGCAAGCTCAAGCATGATAGGTCGTTATATTAATCGAACGAACAAGAAACTTGGAATATGGAACGTGGGAGCTAAATTGGGCATTACCTTTTGTTTGAACCAAGAAATGAAATCAGGCCTCCCCGCACCCGCACCCCGAGAAAGAAGGGTGTCATGTTCCTGCGAGGTAGGATCCCTTGATTGATGCCAGGACTCACGAACAGATTCCCTGTCCAAACGAGAATCAGTGGGGTTGCATGAAGAATATTCAGAGGGCGTATTGAAACAAGTTCGTTGAGAACTTACTCGACGAACGGCTGCACCTCGGGAAGGTTGGTCAACACATATAGCATGACACTTTGCCACTCTTCATTTCCCAATATCTTATTGGTTGATCCACTTGCGCTGCCGAGTTGGCCTTAGAACAGGCTGTGGGTCCATTCATTTTCGCCAACATTGTAACGAGGGAGTGGATTATGATTGCTAGGAAGTTTCGGCTTGTAGTATAGTGTTGTGAAGTTTGCCACCTCCTCCCTTAGACTTGCCTCTGCAATGGAAGCCTCAATTCTGGCTTTATTTGTACATTTCTTGCGAAGAGTCTTTAGACATCTCTCGATTGGATAGCACCACCGGGCTTGCACGGGCCCCCCAAACGTGCCTCGGACGGGAGGTGCACAATCAGATGCTGCATGGGCAAGAAGAAGCCGGGTGGAAAGATCTTCTCCAGCTTACAGAGTAACATAGGTGCCGC